TCCTACGGTAATGATATGCCCTTAAAAATCATTGTCGCCGCTCTTATCTTGTTCGCAGATGATTCATCTTTTATTGTAAAGGCTAGAAACTACAAAGCCTTGAACGAAAAAACTGCTGTGGCTAATGACAAAATGATTGATTTTGCCAGTAATAACCGCTTAAGATTGAACGAAAAGAAAACTCAGGTGCTGCAAATGCATACTGCTCAAACTAGTAAATTGGAACCGCCTGTAATCAGAATTAACGACGCTGAAATTGAAGTGGTAAATCAAGCAAAAATACTTGGTGTAATGCTCTCTGATACAATGAACTGGAGCACCCAATGCGATCAGGTTGTAGCGAAACTGAGAAGTACCACGTACCTTTTTGTTAAATTAAGGCAGCGCATTCAAACTAAATTGCTAAGAGATGTATATTTCGCCCATGTTCAAAGTCACTTACTATACTCAATTGTAATTTGGGGTGGGTCGCCTATGTTGGAAAAGGTTTTCATTGCTCAAAAGAGAGTTATCCGTGCGATGGCAGGTAAAAGATACTGGAAGGCATTGACACCTGTCGAGTCTTGCCGACCACTTTTTGAAGAATTTCAGATCCTGCCAGCTTTCTCTGTGTATGCCTTTGAATGTGTTAAATTTTACAAAAAGTATCCTGAATTGTTCCTCAAAAATTCTGAAAGCAAGGTGCACCAGAATCGCAGTACTCGAAATAAACCTATAGCGGAGCAAGACTTATTTGTCAAACCAAACAGACTGTTGCTGACTGCGCAGTCCCCTCACATCATGATCCCTAGAATTTTCAATCATCTTCCCGATAGAATCAAAAACATTGATAGTTATCAAGTGTTTAAGAAGGAATTGGAATTAATATTCATCTACGACAAAATGTTCTATGACGTGCATGAATATTTTTTGTGTAAAATTGTGTGAACTGTATTTTAAATGTATTTTAAATTTAGTAAGCTGTATTATAGTTATATTGAGATATAGCTGTATTACAGTGACCTATTCCAAAGATTATTTCTGTACATATGTTGATCTATACGGAATAAATATTATCTGAATCTGAATTTACATATATCAGATTCAGAGTATTTTTTCACTTACCATCAATATTAATCTGGTAATCACTGTTGGCTTCTGCCTGAGTCATGGCGGAGATGGTCACGTTAGCCTTAACTAGGAGCAGGCACAGGATCAGTCACATGCTGAACAGGAATTGCACTAACATGTCTTGCATGCTCATGCTTTTAACAGCTTCTTTGAACTTCCGATTTGTAGCCATGGCTATGTACAATTCTTGGCCTGAATCGTTAAGAAATTAAAAAAATTATGAGGGTTAGTTTGCTATGATACCGAGAATATTTAACGCATTACCAAAAAATATTAATGTGGTAGGAATACTAGATGAGCTTGTAATAATAATTTGTGAAAAAAGCTAAACCTAGGGATTTTGTTGTTGTTGTTGTTTTGGGGGAGAGATTAGGGATAGAGAAGACATGGGACTACCACGCCCCCTTTCTCGGACCAATCAGCGACGACAAGACAAATGACTGACGTCAGCGATTGGTGAAAACAAGGAGGGTGCAAGCTCCTTGGCACTCCTTGGCGCTCCTTGGGTGTACTGTCTGTTTAGTGTTGAACTTGTCAATTGAAAATTTCCGCGCTTGGTGGGACTTCTCGGTCATCAGAATCGGATTTTGCAAAAAATTAGCACAATTCTGCAATTTTCAGCACCGATCTTGCGTGCGGATCAATTTTATAGAGCATTTGTTTTTATTCGTAAAGCATACGTCGTGCTATGCTCGTTGGTAAACCGATTTTTTGTTAAAAATTTGCCGGTACAAACATACTGAAACATACCTATTAAGCAGTCCAAGATGTCTGACGTCTGACGCCGATGTGCGAGGATGAAGAAGATTATGGGCTGGTAAAACTTTGTTTGTCATATTTTCGTTTAAAATTTTGTATGCGTTCACTGGAAATGAACATCAAACCAGTTGACCCCTTGTCTAAAATATCAAAATTTAGGAATGTCAGTTTTAGATTTTTCTAAAAACATGCAGGGTCTTTCCTTATGTATGTAGTCGCTTCTGGGTGTCTGTACTGTTTGTAGGTGTATGTTCATTTAAATTTACAATTAATTCTAGTATACTTCTCAAGTTCTCATCAATCATCTTTGTTATTTATTCTTCTCGGACAATACTCAATTTATAAAAAAAAAACACACATTAACCTAATTTTCAGTAGTATATATGTATGCAGTAAAATTTAATGAAGTTATTCAATTTAATTTCAATTCAATAAATTTTTATTCCATTTGAGATCAAATATTAACAAAGATCTGAAGTCTTGATAAAATGAAAACTTAACATTTACATTCTATAAACATTCTAATTTACGCAACAGACATACTCATGGATATCATTAAACAATTTATCGTTAAATAATTTCTTTGCTTCACTATGTAATAAAAATCTTTAATTTGCTTTCAGTCTTTCCGGAAGCATAAAGATTTTTTAAATCAGAATTTAGGGTTTTGTGTTGTTAAATTTAGCCATACAGGTACAGATCTTCCATGGAAACAGAGTTATGTATTCTGTAAAATTATGATTTTCACATGTGTTACTTTCCGATTTTTTTACAAGTGAGCTTTTAAGTAAAAGATTAACTAATTATTGAAATTTTAGGAATATTCTGAAGATAGCAACTCTGAGCCGGACGTTGATTTGGAAAATCAGTACTACAACTCTAAATCTCTGAAAGAGGATGACCCCAATGCTGCCCTGGCCTCATTTCAAAAGGGTTTTGGATTTAGAAGGTGGCGAGAAAGGAGAATGGGGTTTCAAAGCACTCAAGCAGATGATCAAAATCAACTTAAAATTGGTACATCCGATGAAAAAAAAAAAATTAAATGAGACAATATTTTAATTTATAAATTTTCCATTCAGAGTAATTATAAGGAGATGATGGTCAGATATAAGCAATTGCTTACCTACATTAAGAGTGCAGTCACAAGGAACCACAGCGAGAAGTCTATCAATTCAATACATCTCCACCTCTAAAAATGTAATACAAAAATTTAAAAATTCCGGTAAATTGTATCATGCTCATTTAGTTTGATTTCCAGATGGAACTTCTCCAAGACTTTTATGAAACTACTCTAGATGCGTTGAAAGATGCCAAGAATGATAGATTATGGTTCAAAACAAACACGAAGTTGGGGAAATTGTATTTTGATAGAGAGGACTACACAAAGCTTGCCAAAATTCTAAAGCAACTTCACCAATCATGCCAGACTGATGACGGAGAGGATGACTTAAAGAAGGGCACCCAGTTGTTAGAAATTTACGCCCTTGAGATTCAGATGTACACAGCTCAGAAGAACAACAAAAAGCTCAAAACACTATACGAGCAGTCATTGCACATTAAGTCGGCCATCCCCCACTCTTTATCATGGGCGTCATTAGAGGTTTGCATTGTTCATAACAGGAAATTTTAGTAATTTATAACCATCTTCTTCCAGAATGTGGGGGTAAAATGCATCTGAGAAAGGGCGAGTTTGAAAAAGCCCATACAGATTTCTTCGAGGCGTTCAAAAATTACGACGAGTCAGGCAGTCCAAGACGTACCACATGCCTCAAATAACTAGTACTTGCAAATATGTAAGCAATTTGATTTGGTCCAGAATTTTCAATTGAATTCTAATATTTTACAGGCTAATGAAATCTGGCATCAATCCCTTTGATTCCCAAGAAGCCAAACCCTATAAAAACGATCCTGAAATTCTAGCAATGACTAATCTAGTTTCAGCCTACCAAAATAATGACATAAACGAGTTTGAAAAGATCCTTAAGGAGAACAGAAAGAACATCATGTACGACCCTTTCATTAGAGAGCATATTGAAGGTTTGGTTACAAATTAGTAATGTTACATGTCTAATTTAAGTAAACTTAGATCTTTTGAGGAATATAAGAACTCGGGTTCTGATCAAGCTTATTAAGCCCTATACTAGAATACACATCCCATTTATTTCGAAGGAATTGAACATTGATGCCAATGAAGTTGAAAGTCTCCTAGTGTCGTGCATTCTTGACAAGTAAGAGCTTCAAATGTTAAAAAATTTTGGAATTTTGTATTGGTTGTGCCAAAATTTCAGTGTGATCAGAGGAAGAATTGACCAGGTAAACCAAGTGCTGGAGCTGGACAGGCAGTCGCTGGGCGCTGCTAGGTACTCGGCGCTTGACAAGTGGACAGGCCAGTTGGCAAGTTTGCACCAGGCTGTGGTCAACAAGATGGCCTAGCCGCAGCGGTCGAGGCCACTACTGTGCCAGTGATCCGGACACATATTGCGATTCGTGACTGAGCCAGTGGTTGTTCTATGGTTCAACCTTTTTACTTTCAATGTCTAAATGTCTACTCCATTTGTCAATACACACTGCTGTTTTTTTTTTTTTTTTTTTTGTGATTGATGATGAATCCCTACTGCTGTTATGTTTACCCTTGGTTGATCGGAAAGAAGTGCACTGCTAGAGCTGAAAGCTTTAGTACTGCAAAATAAGAAGTAAAATCTTTGTGCTTCTGGCTATGTACCACAATGCAGGGGATTGTGCCAAACTTACTTCCTCCAAAATTTTGTAACTCAAATTTATTCAGTTTCATGAAGATATTATTTAAGACTTACTAAAGTGTTACGCTACAAGGAAATTAACTTTGTCTCACAAATTCACAGCCTTTACATTATAACTGGGAAAATAAGAGTCATAAGAGATGATCATAAAATATAGGTATTATAATTTTAACATCAAAGAGAGGTTATTCAGATGCACTTGAGGTGATTTCAGATGGCATACTGCATACGCTATTAATAAATTTATATTAATGAAAAAAAACTTTGTTCTGCAGCTTTATTTGCATTTATTTTGTCTGAGTGTTGCTCTTGAAGCTTGCCTTGTATTGGTTCGCAAGCATGGCAGCAATTCCAGAGAGGGTCTGCGCAGCCCGAGCGACTGTCAAGTGCAGCACCACCTCCTCGGCCCATCCACTTGTCACACATTGCGCCACTCCATGCAGCATGTTAACGTACAATACTGCTTGGCGCAAGTCTCCCAGCTCCATGAAGTACCTGAAAAGAAGGCTTATGTAATTTAAGACACCTTCAAAATGGATTTAATCCTACTTAGCCCTGTCCAATAGCTGTTCGTTGGTCAGTGAACTAAGATTGAGGGGCTGGTTGACCTTCTCTGTGTGGGAGATGCAGCTAACAGGATGGACCAAAAGAATGGAGCGCAAGTATGACGCGATGTAGAGGAACATTGAGTTGTTGTCCTTCTGCTTGAGCAACAACACCTTTCTTGCAATGGGCTCCACCTCACTGAAACGCTGCTTCAGGGCGTTTTCAGTATAAACACCTCGGTTGAACACTTGTGCTGGAATGCTATTGACCACGTACTGTCTCAACAAATTCCTTTAGGACAGCATCGTTCCCAATGATCTGGATGATGTAGGGCTTGATGGGCTGCAGCTGGTGCTTCCAGTTGAGCTGCGGGAAAGGGTCCGTGGTCAGCGCTAACTGCAGTTTGAAGCATGTGTTTGCAAAAGCAAAGACGTCATCACTAAATGTCTGAACATTCAGCTCGTGTCCTGAAAATTAATCGCAGTTATATTTTCTATTTCCAATTTTAAGTTTTACGTTTGACGTTAGGCCCAAGTTCAGCAAGCTCCCCAACCATATGAAGCTTCCAATTTTCGACACCATCGTTGATAATGTCCACCTTCTCTTCTAACTCGCGGTCAAGGGTAAACTTCTTAGCTCGCAATATGGCCTCATGATTATTGGTTGTTTTCTGAATGAAATCTAGTTTTTCCTCAAGCACCTTCTGCTCTAGTTTTTTCTTGAGCTGCGTCCTCTAAAAAATTGAAATCCTTATGTCTCTGTATGAAAATAATAAAATGTTTAGTGTGTCTATACCTGGAAATAATTTTTTTCATCCAGACTCTTTATAAGATCCTCTTCTTTGCTGTCCACGAGAGCGCCAAGCCTTTGCCTCTCTCCACCCTTGCCTACAAACTTCTTGAGCTTGGATGGACCGTTTGTTAAAATCATCAGCCTTTTATAAATTGAAAATGTCTTATTAGTTTATAGATTTCTATTACAAATTTACCATTTGTATTTCAGTCTTGGCACAAAACTGCTCCAGTTGCAGAGCAAGTGACCGGTTGTAAAGCTCTCGCGTCTTCCGTACTGCATATAGGCCAGACAATGAAAAACTCAAATCCTCCTGAATTATAAAAATATTATGTAATATATTATATATCCAGATCTATTATTATTATTATTGCTATTTTATTGACTTATGAAGCGTCACCACGATGTAATTACTCATTGCGACGCGCCGCATTTGCAACATAGTACAAAACAAGTAAAAAGAGAGTAAGAAAAAACAACAAACATATTACAATTCATCAATTAGTTGAAAAAACTCTTCCTTGCTGTAAAATTTATGTGTATGTGCCTCAAACTATAGCTTCAAATAAATAAATAAAAATAAAATCTTGTATCGCGGCTCCAAGCGAGTGGTCTGCCCGGCCGTGCGGCGCGCGGCGAAAATCAAATCGCGCCCCCCTTGCTGGTCCTGAAGGGTAGCTCGACTCAATTAGCATACGCGCGCACCGGACGGGGCAGGTGCGCCGAGCCGCGGGGTCCTCCCGTTCGACCCCGGCCGCGACTCGAAGGTGGCCCCGAACGAGGTTGGCGCCTCCGCGAGCGGTGAACGGAGGCGGGGAGCGTGTTGGAGTTAGGCAGCACAGGGGTGCCCGGTTCTTGCCACCTGCAGGACGCCGTCGTCCTGCCGCTGTTCTCTCTCTCGTCTGTCGTCGTCCTCTCGATGGCCAGCGGCTACTTCCGCTGTTCTACCGAGCGCCGTCCACTCGGTCGTCGTGACATACTTTTTTTCCCAATTTTCAACTCTCATTATTTTTCCTTATTTGCTTATTTACGGATTTTATTTTCTCAATTTAAAATTTCTTCTTTTCTCAAATTTTACTTTTTTCTCTTTTCAAATTAACTTCTACTTTTCTCAAAATTCAACTTTTTTACCTTTCTCAAATTTCAACTATTGCTTTAAAGGGGCTCTAATTTTGTTGTTAAAATTCGTCAAATTTCTCTTTAAAGTAAAATGCTATTTATTTTCTTTGCCCTATCTAATTACACAAATTTCTTTATCGCGCGCGTGTCATTTCTCGGTCAGCAAAAAAGGGGTTTTCTCTCCATCGTCCGTCTGCGAGCGGCGGGCGGTCTAATGGCCCACTGGCTAGCTCCGCGGCTCGAAACGGCTGCTGACGGCAACGCGTAATTTCGCCTAAAACACAAGGAAATGCACATTTTAGCACCCAGCCTACTTTGACTATTCCGTATTTTTGCTACCTCTTAGGGCCTTTTGGGGCTGTTCGCTCCGTCCCTTGGTCGCATTTCGGCCGAACTTGGCAGGAGATAATCTAAGCAAGTGTTTCGGATACCTGGCGCTATGTGCAAGTCTCAAACCTCAGTAGGGCTCTCGGCCGACTACATGAGTTTAATGCGCGGCCGTGAACTCCGAAGAGAACGGAGGCCCTTTGCGCATTCTTAACCGGAGCTCCAGCAATCCGATCGAGTTTTAACGTGCGGCCCTGAACTCCGAAGAGAACCCTAGACCTTTTGCATCGTTTGGCGATTCCTCTCGAATGCCCCCTTTGCAGGGAAAACGGCGCTATTTATTCCAAAATCGAGCACCTCCCTTTGGCCATCACTTCTGTGTTAATTCTTTACTTAACTTTCGCGGGGGACCTTCTGATTGGGGCGGCCGGTCAAAAGCGAGCGGCTGTATTGGCTTGGGTGGTGGGTGTTTTAAGACTCTACACAGCGCGCGCTGAGAGGGATGAAAAATAAAAGCAGCAAGAATGCGCGCTGTTGCAACTTCGGCACTCTCGAACGACTCAAAATTAATTCCAAATTGAATTATCCGAGAACCAAAGGTTCAGCTTAAAATCTTGAACTAAATAACGCTCAACTCTAACTGAAAAAAAAACTTTAATTCCGAATTCATAAAAAAACATATCGCCTTTTTATTTGAGACTTTGCACTTTCGCGCCTCTGCAAATAAGATTTAATTAATTTCCTAGGCATGCACTCCGTACTCTATTTTTCCCTTTTTTTCTAATTTCTAATAGACCAATAACCAAAGAAATTGTTGCGCGGCGGCCACTCAATTATAATTTAGCCGCCGAGCGAGAGAAGAGCGCCTCTCTTTGCGTGCGCCGTGCAAGCAAGAGAGGAGAGACACACACAGGGCCGGCCGAGGCGGCCAGCGAGAGCGAGCGAGTGAATTTATGCTGGCGCGGCATTTCCCTTTTTTCCCTTTTTTTTCAACACTATAGTGTTGAAAAATTGAGATTATAATCTCAATTTTCCAACTGAAAATTACTTCCGTTTTTCTTTAATTTAATTCTCAATTTGCTCGTTCTCGATGTTCTCCTTTTTTTTCAGCATTAAATTCCAGCGCTCAAAACCAATTTAATTTCCCATGCAAATTTCCAATTGAATTCTATATACAAAGTCTCATCAATTGTGTCAACAATGAATTTAAAATTCTCAAACCGAAATGGCTAAAAAATTGAAAATTCTTTTCGAGCAATTAAGCGCCCGGGTGACCTGAAGGGCGGGTTCGCAGGTTTCCAATTTAAACCAATTTTCTGCGCAACATCCAGTCGTAGGGCACTTGTTTCGGCTCCAGAATCAACGAGCAATGGCAGCTGGTATTTCCCAATTTGCACGTGAACGATGAATGAAATTTTCCTCCAAGTTTTATTTACACCAAATGCCCGATTTTATTCCTTTTGTTTATAAACGATTTATTTCCATTACTTAAAAACTGCATTGTGTTTATTTTTGCTGACGATATAGTAATCTTGTTTGCACATGAAAGTTTTGAAATTTGTAAATTAACAATTCAATCCGAATTTGATAAAACTGTTGAATGGTGTCATGATAACGGTTTTTATGTAAACACAAAAAAAAACCATTTGTATGCATTTTTGTCATCCCAGTGCTCGTGAAGAACGTATGCTCAACATAATTTGTCATGATTACGACTGTCTGCATTCCTTTTGTATTAATTGTAAATGCAACATTTTAAAGCAAGTCACGGATACAAAATATCTCGGAGTAATTGTAGATCAGGATTTATCTTGGAAACCTCATTTACATTATATATCGTAAAAACTGAGAAAAATTATATGTGAGTTCAGTAACCTGAAAGCTAATATGCCGTATAATGTGAGAAGAATAATGTATTTCTCATTAGCTCATTCTTATTTAAATTACGGAATTACAGCTTGGGGTGCTGTAAATCTCACAGCTCTGAAATCGCTGCAAGAGAAAATTTTGTATAAAATGTGTTCCAGAAAGCACAAGCAAACAATTCAAAATCAATTTAAATTCTGGAATGTATTGCCGGTTGATAAAATTTTTGAAATAAACTTGTTGTGTGTAAAATATTTTGATTCGGACCATGGTGTACCGTATACCCATTCGCATAACACAAGAATGTTACGACAAAATCCTGTAATAGAACCGATGAGTGAGAACAAATATTTTGATCGAACAGATCGAACTACTCAGTTCATTTTGCCACGGCTGTGGAATTTACTGCCACTCGAATTAAAAAATTTACAAACCAAGACGGAAATGAAATTGAAAATAAAAAAATTGTACTTGTCCATGAATTAGCTTATGACACACTTGTTTGTAATAATTCTGTGCATATTTTGCTAGTTGTATAGCTGGCGAGCAAATTGCTCGTCAGTTATCGTGAGCACCAGCCGATAAGCTTTCGAGCTTGGCTGGACTTGTATCATAAAATGAATAAATATCTTTAATAAGAAAAAAAAATATTTGGCCGACTAAACCCAAATTAGTTGAAGATTTTACAAAAAGTTCAAATAAATAGCAAAAAACCAGACGAGTCTCTCACTTTGCTATATTTTTCTGTGCGGTAGCTATATTTGGCCAACTAAACCCAAATTAGATGAAGATTTTACTAAAAGTTCAAATAAATAGCAAAAATCCAGACGAGTCTCTCACTTTGCTATATTTTTCTGTGCGGTAGCTATATTTGGCCAACTAAACCCAAATTAGTTGAAGATTTTACATAAAGTTCAACTAAATAGCAAGAAACCAGACGAGTCTCTCACTCTGCTATATTTTTCAGTGCGGTTGCTATATTTGGCCGACTAAACCCAAATTAGTTGAAGATTTTACAAAAAGTTCAAATAAATAGCAAAAAACCAGACGAGTCTCTCACTTTGCTATATTTTTCTGTGCGGTTGCTATATTTGGCCGACTAAACCCAAATTAGTTGAAGATTTTACAACACGTTCAAATAAATAGCAAAAAACCAGACGAGTCTCTCACTTTGCTATATTTTTCTGTGCGGTTGCTATATTTGGCCGACTAAACCCAAATTAGTTGAAGATTTTACAAAAAGTTCAACTCATACAGAAATAATTTTCAAGTAATTAAATTGCACTATTTCTTCTTCATCGTGGCGTAAAAGTTTATTGAGTGAAGTCTTTTCTTGCAGAACTCAAGGTGGTATTGGGTGTATTTTTCGTCACATAGCTCGCACACACAGTCCTCGCCAGCAGTAGAGTGAAAACTTTTGTCTTTACAAATTAGATAATGAAACCCAGTCATTGCATATCGAGTAAAAGCGTGTCTATTTTTGAAAAGGGGTTGTTTCCAGCAGTCATTTATCATAGCTGGCGTTTCAAAGAAGTTTAAATCAAAGTCCCTTTCAGCTCTAATTTCAATATTAATTAAAAACTCTTCGTATGCCGAAGTGGGGGTTAAGTTGAATTTGTTCATGGTGGTTGTGACAAAAAATTCTTCGGCGGCAATTAAATGGTAGATTAACGTGTTTCTGCAGTATTTCCCTGTTCCTAGTACTTTTTTATAAAAAGTTGTCATTAATTTCTCCAAAATAAAAAAGTCGCAAGACTTTAGGTGTGGCCAAATGGCTTCAATGCCATACGTAGCTATCGGGGCAAATTTTAATGCAAATAGACGGCGAGCACAATCGATTGATAAATTCCTTAAATCTCCCGAGCCATACATTGCCGTGACGGCCTTTTTGCATCTGTCGCTAATATGCTTTGAAAAAGAAGTTCCTGAGGGTTGAAACTTGAAACACAACTCCCAAATACGAAAAACTATTAACAAATTCAATTTTATTCCCTGCACATATTAATTCATTATTTTTCCCTTTGGCACCCTTGCCTTTATTTGTAAATTTCAGGATTTTTGTTTTTTCGAAATTAGGTTGTAGATTGTTTTCTTTGCAATATTCCAAAAAATTACGCATAGCAAGCTCAAGTTTTTTGCAACAGTCACTAATAAAAACCATGTCATCGGCATAGAATAGGAATTCTACCCCTTCTACATTTTCAAAAATTTTAATTACATCATGTAAATATTAAAGCAGATTGGGCTAGAATTCATACCTTGCTTAAAACCATTTGATTGTGGAAAGAATTCTGATAAAGACACACCGTCGTCGACTCGAATTGAATCTTATCGCAAGAAGTTCCGAAAGCAAAAGGAGTTCACTTTTTGAGAATTTACTTTTTTCTGCAACTTTTTTAATAAAAATTTTTCTCGAAGTGGAGTCGAAGGCCTTTTTTAAATCTATAAACAATGCATATTTCTTATATACTTTTTGACCTATATTTTTTATAAATTTTTTCTTGAAACTTTTTTTGAAAATATTTAATTTGTGCACATTTTCTTGTATTTGATTAACATAAAAAAATAATATGACGAGGGAACCGTCTAAGATATAGAATACATGTATAAGTATATTAATTCATAATAATTAAGAAATCAATGAACTTTGTAAAAATTTTATTGGGTTTTCACAACATTAATTTAATTAATTTAGAATTTTGATTGCCAAGTGCATAAATGGCAACAATGACATTTTTGATATTTCAAAAATATATAATTTTGAAAACACCAACAATTGAAAAAAAAAGCAATAATGATAAAATAGATTTTAAAATTCATTCTTCTTTTGAATTCGTTAGAGTAAGATTTTTTTTTTGAATTGTGAAAGAATTTTTGAAAATCTAACTGAAATTTTCGTTTTGCAGGCCTTAGAAGATGCAGAACGGAGTCCCCGACCAAATATCGACCAACAACGGGATGGAACAAGCTCTTGATTTGACCAACGGGCAGAATGCTCCTCTGCATACTAGCAGCGCAATTCTGGACAACGGAGGACGCCGGGTCTACGCTTCCAACTCCTCGTTGACTCAAGGACTCTTGGTCAACGAGAGGCAGAACGCTCCTCTGTCTGCTAGCAGCGTAATTCTGGACAACGGAGGACGCCGGGTCTACGCTTCCAACTCCTCGTTGACTCAAGGACTCGAGGTCAACGAGAGGCAGAACGCTTCTCTGTCTGCTAGCAGCACAATTCTGGACAACGGAGGACGCCGGGTCTACGCTTCCAACTCCTCGTTGACTCAAGGACTCTTGGTCAACGAGAGGCAGAACGCTCCTCTGTCTGCTAGCAGCGTAATTCTGGACAATGAACTGGCACCTACAATGTGAAAAAGTGGCAAATAAATTGAGAAGTGTGACGTATCTTTTTACTATATTGCGCGATACAGTGTCAGAAAGTTCACTTAAAACTGTATATTATGCGTATGCCCAAAGTCAAATACTGTATTCTATTGTGATTTGGGGAGCATCACCACACATGCAAAAAGTGTTCGTCGCTCAGAAGCGTGTTGTCAGAGCAATGACTGGGCTGAAGTATTGGAGAGCAAATTGTGCGCTTGATACATGTAGGCCACTTTTTGCTAAATATGGTATATTGACTGTTTACTCTCTCTATATATTAGAATGTATGAAATTCCTTATAAATCATCCTGAAAAATTTAGAAAAAAATCAGAAATTCCAAATTGTATGAGTCCGAAAACAAAAAGTGCAAAAAGCAAGCACTGTGTAAAAGACCTATATGTCGAGATTGAAAATCACTTGGATATATTAAACCAAAATCCAGTAGTTATGATAGCAAGAATATTTAACTCTCTACCTGTTAGTGTAAAAATGACTGGAAAGTAACGAGTTTATTAGCAAAATAAGAGAAATTGTATATAAGTATCAGTATTATGACATGAACGAATTTTTCAGTTGTAAATTTGATTTGTAAATTGTATAAATATGTGAATGACGTATTTTAAAAGTTGTCAATTCGTTGATGACTTAATGAAATAAAAATAATTCTGAATCTGAATCTGAATCTGACAACGGAGGACGCCGGGTCTACGCTTCCAATTCCTCGTTGACTCAAGGACTCTTGGTCAACGAGAGGCAGAACGCTCCTCTGTCTGCTAGCAGCGTAATTCTGGACAACGGAGGACGCCAGGTCTACGCTTCACACTCCTCGTTGACTCAAGGACTCTTGGTCAACGAGAGGCAGAACGCTCCTCTGTCTGCTAGCAGCGTAATTCTGGACAACGGAGGACGCCGGGTCTACGCTTCCAACTCCTCGTTGACTCAAGGACTCGAGGTCAACGAGAGGCAGAACGCTCCTGATCTGTCTGCTAGCAGCACAATTCTGGACAACGGAGGACGCCGGGTCTACGCTTCCAATTCCTCGTTGACTCAAGGACTCTTGGTCAACGAGAGGCAGAACGCTCCTCTGTCTGCTAGCAGCTCAATTCTGGACAACGGAGGACGCCAGGTCTACGCTTCCAACTCCTCGTTGACTCAAGGACTCGAGGTCAACGAGAGGCAGAACGCTCCTCTGTCTGCTAGCAGCACAATTCTGGACAACGGAGGACGCCGGGTCTACGCTTCCAATTCCTCGTTGACTCAAGGACTCGAGGTCAACGAGAGGCAGGACGTTCCTCCGCCTGCTAGCCTGAACTTTCTAGGTTTAAAGATGCTATAATAAAAGCTTATTTTGACAATTTGTTGATTTTTGCTTATTAAAATTCCCCCCCTGCTGATTTCCCTTATCAGCTTTACAATTTTAAATCTTATTAATTAGTTTCCACTTAATAACTTATCTCAATTGATCGACCCTCACCCGTCATGCCTTCGGCTCACCCTGCAGACCTCTCGCCCAAGGACACAGCCCGCCGGGAGTGCGGTGACCTTAAAGACTTATCTAAAATCACTATGTTAATATTCTAGGAATTAAAGAATAAAAACCAGACTATATGCTTTGCAGGTCAAACACAAACTGATTTATTTATTGTGCGGCACCGAGGTGTCGCCTTCTGTGGTTTGAAGGGAAATACAGGAGGAGTGGGATAACATGTATTACATGCACATAAAATAATATTATTCTTTAAATGCAGTAATAATATAGATGTCACAAGATTACAACTTACATGGTTATATTATTGAACCAAATATTTACAAGGAGATCTTTACTCAATCAGCCAGTTTTTAAAGCAAGCGGTCTCTTATGGTTGTGTCACGAATTCGGGCATAGCCTAAGATATAAACTTTTTGATCGCCCATTATCACTTTTGCTCAATCAAAGGAGCAGAAGAAAGCTGATAAAAAAACGAACGTAAAGAAAAAAATCATTTTTTTATACTTTTTTAATTTTAATGAATTACTTCTATAGAAGGACGACTGCCCAGAGCACTGCATATCAGAACTGCCGAAGTGCTTAACGGAAATTCGACTGAAACTCAATTTTGATGTGGAGGTGAAACTCAATGCCAAATTAGAAGTGACTGGGATCATTTATTCTGGCGAGAAAGAGCTCCTTGTAAGTTTATCAACTTTAAATTAATCACAAGCTCATAAAAAATTTAATTTTTCAGAGACCAGGTCACCCAAGATTCCCTAAGGGCCTAACAATTAATTTTGACAACGGTCCGATCAGAGCTAAGGTGGAATTTTAAGTTAAAGCAAGGTCCAAAATGGTTGTGTCACGAATTACGGACAACCCCTATCAAGAACTATGGGCACCTTTGTCACAAACCTCTTTCAAATGGGCACGCCGTCTCAGCCTGTCACAAATGATGGGCACGGAGACGCGAGAGCTTTACAACCGGTCACTTGCTCTGCAACTGGAGCAGAAAATATCTTAAAACCTCAAATATGGCACATCAATTGCCATCTATGATCTCTCGAGAAAGCACTGAAAAAAAGGATTATAAAGACAGGTCTTTTACATATATCAGATTCAGAGTATTTTTTCACTTACCATCAATATTAATCTGGTAATCACTGTTGGCTTCTGCCTGAGTCATGGCGGAGATGGTCACGTTAGCCTTAACTAGGAGCAGGCACAGGATCAGTCACATGCTGAACAGGAATTGCACTAACATGTCTTGCATGCTCATGCTTTTAACAGCTTCTTTGAACTTCCGATTTGTAGCCATGGCTATGTACAATTCTTGGCCTGAATCGTTAAGAAATTAAAAAAATTATGAGGGTTAGTTTGCTAATATGATACCGAGAATATTTAACGCATTACCAAAAAATATTAATGTGGTAGGAATACTAGATGAGCTTGTAATAATAATTTGTGAAAAAAGCTAAACCTAGGGATTTTGTTGTTGTTGTTGTTTTGGGGGAGAGATTAGGGATAGAGAAGACATGGGACTACCACGCCCCCTTTCTCGGACCAATCAGCGACGACAAGACAAATGACTGACGTCAGCGATTGGTGAAAACAAGGAGGGTGCAAGCTCCTTGGCACTCCTTGGCGCTCCTTGGGTGTACTGTCTGTTTAGTGTTGAACTTGTCAATTGAAAATTTCCGCGCTTGGTGGGACTTCTCGGTCATCAGAATCGGATTTTGCAAAAAATTAGCACAATTCTGCAATTTTCAGCACCGATCTTGCGTGCGGATCAATTTTATAGAGCATTTGTTTTTATTCGTAAAGCATACGTCGTGCTATGCTCGTTTGTAAACCGATTTTTTGTTAAAAATTTGCCGGTACAAACATACTGAAACATACCTATTAAGCAGTCCAAGATGTCTGACGTCTGACGCCGATGTGCGAGGATGAAGAAGATTATGGGCTGGTAAAACTTTGTTTGTCATATTTTCGTTTAAAATTTTGTATGCGTTCACTGGAAATGAACATCAAACCAGTTGACCCCTTGTCTAAAATATCAAAATTTAGGAATGTCAGTTTTAGATTTTTCTAAAAACATGCAGGGTCTTTCCTTATGTATGTAGTCGCTTCTGGGTGTCTGTACTGTTTGTAGGTGTATGTTCATTTAAATTTACAATTAATTCTAGTATACTTCTCAAGTTCTCATCAATCATCTTTGTTATTTATTCTTCTCGGACAATACTCAATTTATAAAAAAAAAAACACACATTAACCTAATTTTCAGTAGTATATATGTATGCAGTAAAATTTAATGAAGTTATTCAATTTAATTTCAATTCAATAAATTTTTATTCCATTTGAGATCAAATATTAACAAAGATCTGAAGTCTTGATAAAATGAAAACTTAACATTTACATTCTATAAACATTCTAATTTACGCAACAGACATACTCATGGATATCATTAAACAATTTATCGTTAAATAATTTCTTTGCTTCACTATGTAATAAAAATCTTTAATTTGCTTTCAGTCTTTCCGGAAGCATAAAGATTTTTTAAATCAGAATTTAGGGTTTTGTGTTGTTAAATTTAGCCATACAGGTACAGATCTTCCATGGAAACAGAGTTATGTATTCTGTAAAATTATGATTTTCACATGTGTTACTTTCCGATTTTTTTACAAGTGAGCTTTTAAGTAAAAGATTAACTAATTATTGAAATTTTAGGAATATTCTGAAGATAGCAACTCTGAGCCGGACGTTGATTTGGAAAATCAGTACTACAACTCTAAATCTCTGAAAGAGGATGACCCCAATGCTGCCCTGGCCTCATTTCAAAAGGGTTTTGGATTTAGAAGGTGGCGAGAAAGGAGAATGGGGTTTCAAAGCACTCAAGCAGATGATCAAAATCAACTTAAAATTGGTACATCCGATGAAAAAAAAAAAATTAAATGAGACAATATTTTAATTTATAAATTTTCCATTCAGAGTAATTATAAGGAGATGATGGTCAGATATAAGCAATTGCTTACCTACATTAAGAGTGCAGTCACAAGGAACCACAGCGAGAAGTCTATCAATTCAATACATCTCCACCTCTAAAAATGTAATACAAAAATTTAAAAATTCCGGTAAATTGTATCATGCTCATTTAGTTTGATTTCCAGATGGAACTTCTCCAAGACTTTTATGAAACTACTCTAGATGCGTTGAAAGATGCCAAGAATGATAGATTATGGTTCAAAACAAACACGAAGTTGGGGAAATTGTATTTTGATAGAGAGGACTACACAAAGCTTGCCAAAATTCTAAAGCAACTTCACCAATCATGCCAGACTGATGACGGAGAGGATGACTTAAAGAAGGGCACCCAGTTGTTAGAAATTTACGCCCTTGAGATTCAGATGTACACAGCTCAGAAGAACAACAAAAAGCTCAAAACACTATACGAGCAGTCATTGCACATTAAGTCGGCCATCCCCCACTCTTTATCATGGGCGTCATTAGAGGTTTGCATTGTTCATAACAGGAAATTTTAGTAATTTATAACCATCTTCTTCCAGAATGTGGGGGTAAAATGCATCTGAGAAAGGGCGAGTTTGAAAAAGCCCATACAGATTTCTTCGAGGCGTTCAAAAATTACGACGAGTCAGGCAGTCCAAGACGTACCACATGCCTCAAATAACTAGTACTTGCAAATATGTAAGCAATTTGATTTGGTCCAGAATTTTCAATTGAATTCTAATATTTTACAGGCTAATGAAATCTGGCATCAATCCCTTTGATTCCCAAGAAGCCAAACCCTATAAAAACGATCCTGAAATTCTAGCAATGACTAATCTAGTTTCAGCCTACCAAAATAATGACATAAACGAGTTTGAAAAGATCCTTAAGGAGAACAGAAAGAACATCATGTACGACCCTTTCATTAGAGAGCATATTGAAGGTTTGGTTACAAATTAGTAATGTTACATGTCTAATTTAAGTAAACTTAGATCTTTTGAGGAATATAAGAACTCGGGTTCTGATCAAGCTTATTAAGCCCTATACTAGAATACACATCCCATTTATTTCGAAGGAATTGAACATTGATGCCAATGAAGTTGAAAGTCTCCTAGTGTCGTGCATTCTTGACAAGTAAGAGCTTCAAATGTTAAAAAATTTTGGAATTTTGTATTGGTTGTGCCAAAATTTCAGTGTGATCAGAGGAAGAATTGACCAGGTAAACCAAGTGCTGGAGCTGGACAGGCAGTCGCTGGGCGCTGCTAGGTACTCGGCGCTTGACAAGTGGACAGGCCAGTTGGCAAGTTTGCACCAGGCTGTGGTCAACAAGATGGCCTAGCCGCAGCGGTCGAGGCCACTACTGTGCCAGTGATCCGGACACATATTGCGATTCGTGACTGAGCCAGTGGTTGTTCTATGGTTCAACCTTTTTACTTTCAATGTCTAAATGTCTACTCCATTTGTCAATACACACTGCTGTTTTTTTTTTTTTTTTTTTTTGTGATTGATGATGAATCCCTACTGCTGTTATGTTTACCCTTGGTTGATCGGAAAGAAGTGCACTGCTAGAGCTGAAAGCTTTAGTACTGCAAAATAAGAAGTAAAATCTTTGTGCTTCTGGCTATGTACCACAATGCAGGGGATTGTGCCAAACTTACTTCCTCCAAAATTTTGTAACTCAAATTTATTCAGTTTCATGAAGATATTATTTAAGACTTACTAAAGTGTTACGCTACAAGGAAATTAACTTTGTCTCACAAATTCACAGCCTTTACATTATAACTGGGAAAATAAGAGTCATAAGAGATGATCATAAAATATAGGTATTATAATTTTAACATCAAAGAGAGGTTATTCAGATGCACTTGAGGTGATTTCAGATGGCATACTGCATACGCTATTAATAAATTTATATTAATGAAAAAAAACTTTGTTCTGCAGCTTTATTTGCATTTATTTTGTCTGAGTGTTGCAGCTCTAGTAAGTCACTGGAAATAATTTTATTCAAATTTAATTTAATCTTTCGGAATTTCAGATAGTTTCAACGGCTCTTGGCAGTCAGTATGTGAGTGAACTCTTCCCTTGTGATTCGTCCGAAATCCGAAACCGTTTCGCAGTCACCGTCCTGATCTGATCGTCCGGAGAGCTTGCGCCCGTGGTCTTTTACCGCCGAGAAGATCGACCGATTGTGCAAATTTCCGTCCAGGAAATCGTCTGCGGGTCGCTCGCTGACCAAAGCGAGGCAGGAGGACGCCTTTCTGCACGGTCCTCGGCTCGGTGACTTAATAATGTACATACAATGTCCTTGGTAGGGCGTTGCTGAGCGTTCCCTCCGCCGGTTGGTAAGGGCCGTGATGTTTTCCAGAGCGCTCCTGCGCTGGCGTGAGGTCGATGATCGAATGCCCTAATGGCCTCTCACAAGGTAACCTCCCCTGACTCGTTTTACGAAAACTTTTTAACTCTGCTACTTCTCCAGGCTAGTCAACCAAGCTCCAAAAATATCCCTTTGATTTGCATATTCATAGATTCAGATAATATTTATTCCGTATAGATCTATTCTGACATAATATAAAAAATTACAAAAGGTTTTTTTTATCACTTTTGATCGAACTTCAACTTGAGATATTTTCTTAGACATAACGTTAATTTTTGCTGCCAAATATTAATTTTAAAATCAATTTTTTGTTTTATAATCCTCCACTTTAATGGTAAAATACAGGACAGGAATATTACAACAAAAATACTTCTACTTCTTACAACTTCTTAATGAAAAATTTGACCCACACATTTATAGGAGTCTTCCGCAGCTGCCCATTAAAGACCCAATAAAGGTTGGCCGGAATAATTCCATTTTGCGAAAATGTGCGCGGTAGGGTGACACTTGAAAAGAAGGCTCAGCCTGAATTATTCAAGCCATCACGGACATCGCAAATATCATGGAATATTTATGGAGCGGCCGAGTGGAAAATAGGATTCCGCTGCGCCGCCCGGCCGCGTTCACTCCAACTCCACCAGCGGCCAATATGGGTTTTTATTGAAAACGGCCGCACTGAAAATTTGATGGAAAAAGCACAAAGTTCGTTGTGAAAAATACTGACAAAATATGCGCAGCATTTCTGCTTAATTGGTCAAAAGCAGATCAAAGAGAATAAAGAAAAGCTGGGCACAGGAAAAAGCACAAAATTGAACATTTTGATTGATTATGGGAGCTATTGAATCGAGCTATCAAAAGTTAATAGAATCTCAAAATTTAGTGTGTATATTTTTTTAGATTATTAAAAAGACAGTTGTATTTTCAGTGTTTTATATTTAATTTTTATTTTATTGACTTGATGTAAGATGTTGTGCATTTCATTGTATCTGAATGAAGACTAAATAAATAAATAATTGTAAATATTATTTAAAAATTTATAAATATTTAATCAGGACCAAATTAAAACTTTATCTCTAGCAATTTTGTTTCTTAACGATTGCTTAGTGCAGATTAGAATGAGCTTTAATGTACGAGTTGGTTGGCATTTTTCTTGCTTGCTCACAAAAAGGGGCGCCTAAATTTCATAGGGCAGAGCATGAACGCGCCATTTAGCTTCCTTTGCAAATTTCGTTATTGGCCAGTTTGGGGCAACCAACCGTGATGAGATTAGTCTACGCCAGAGAATAGCCTCATGAGGTTAATGATTTTAGAGAGCAAAAGCAGTCCGGCCGAGCGCAGCAATTCCCCAAGAACAACACAAGTGGGCAATGAGAGGCCGAGTTCCACTTTTCTCCCGCAGAGCCTAATCTTAAAAGGACCTGGCCTATTATCTCAAAATACCACACAACGTTTCCTGTTTCTCGAGCTATTTTTTAATTTTTCATGCAAAGCAAAGGAGTTGGCGAAGAGCTAGGCGTAGCGGCGCGATGGGTAAAAGCTTGTTTTCTTATATAGCTGGATTGGTCTTTGGTTCACCTGATACTCGCGGCGAGAGCCCTTAACACCTTTCAGCAAAACTGCAAAACTTGCCTGGACTTTGCTGCAGCAGCTTCTGTGATTAGAGCGGGAGGGAACGGCCAAGAGAGCAAGCACGTGAAAATCACCGCGCTCTCGTTCGTAAAAGCGGAACCCTTTTTATTAACTGGAATCTTTTATGGTGTTGCGTAATAAAACTGGAGGCGCGCACACATGATGATGATGTGAAGCTCGGCCTGGCTCAGATAAACCGCCCTGGCTCTTTTCGAGCAGCAGTTGTGTGCGCTCGATAAAGTTTGATGCTTTATGACTGCATATTGACTGCACCGAGTTTCGAGCACGATCGCAATTACGACGCACGTATTGCACCGATCGTGACCCCAATAAATGCCGACCATTGTTGAGAGACGTGGCAGCTGCAAAAGAGAGCCCGCCGATTGAGAGAGAGAGAATCTGTGAGCTAAGTTCACCCAGGCGACTCTCTCGCAATCTGCACGAGATATTCAATCGACATGTTACAAAGACCACACGTGTGGTGTGTTTATGTGGATGCTGTAGTCTTTCTTTTACTTGAGCTTGTGTGCACAGAAGCTAATGAAAAGGTCGGCGGCTAATCGCTTGGGCACATTGCGCGATATACTGAACTCTCCTTGATCGCTGAATAATGCATTTGTAGCTATTAATAATGCTGTTTGAAATTGCATGTAAAGACTATTTTTTATATATTTTTTCCCGTTTACGACTCCAGCTCGGCGAGTAGGTTTAATTTGGAAATACTTTTTCTTCCAAATTGGCCCTATAGTGTTTTTTTTTTTCAAGACCTTATGACTGCCAATTCTCTCCCAATGCGACTTTTCCATATCTTATCTGACTTGCTGCGAGAGAATAATTTTTTTTTTTTTAAACGAAGTATATTTATTTGAATGAAGTTACAAGTCCAGCCAACTCCAAAGGGAGTTATCGGCCGGTGCTTGATTGAATCATCCACTCGTTTCAATCACCTTCTCCATAATTGTCCATAATGTAAAAAGAAAAATCAAAATACAATTCCCGACCAAAGTTAGTTGTCTCTACATACCATACTTGTATATTTATTTAATTTTTGTTCTGACATGTTAAAAATTATTTTAAATCGATTTTGAAACTTTTTCAAGCAAAGCGCAGAAGAGATTGCGTTGAAGCCCAGCATTTATATTTTGTAAATTGAAGGATCTGCAGCCATGTTTAAGCCGATCAAAGTATAGTGAATTTAAATGTAAGATTGGGCTTGGATCAAGATTAAAGGTGACTCTTGGAATCCAAAGTTTACTGCTGGAAATGAAAAGAAATCTGAGCAGTTGACTTTTGTGATGAAACTTTTTCCATTTGATATTTCAATTTTACTGCTCTGTCGTAACTTTGTTAACTGGCAGGCGCTGTCTCATTATTGATGCCCAAGAGGCTGCTCGCGTCTCGAGCACAAAATATAAGAGTTGCAAGGATGCGGATGAATTAAATGGACAATATTTTATATGCTTATATAGTGTCCGAATGGATCTTGGTTTTTTTTTTTTTTACCACAAAGCCTTTAGATGAAAATTGTGCTTGAAACAAAATGAGGCTGCTGAGTGCAGGAGAAAAACGGATCGTTCCTCTCAACGTCAGACATTATGGCACACGGTGCTTTATTGTCGGAATTTCACTCGCTCTGGATTTTTCCTGTTTGGTCGTGTGCACGAAAAGTCTGTCGGTTTGAGCGTTAGCGGCGACAGGAAATTGGCATCATGTATTTTGCACATCACGGAGAAGGTCTCAATCAAGACCAAAGAAAATTTTGATAAATTTATACACACATAACACATAATTAGATTGCTTCTATACATATTTATTGAAATAATTAATATAATTTTTTACTTGATATTTCAAGAAAATAAATTGAATAATTACGAAGCTTTTTTTAATAAATTATCCTGTAAAATAAAAATAAAATATTGTTTTGCGAACATGATTTGAAACCCGTAAACATTTTTTTTTTAATTAACACAATTTCATCGTGGAGGACGAAGCCCCTTTTTTATTTTCTTGGATGTGTTTTCTTCTAAAAAGAATAATAATGTGAATAAATAAAAAGAATAAAAATCTGTTTTAAAGGACGTTTGAAATACTTATATTTATTGTTATATGAAATTTAAAAATCATATTTAAGAATGGAACAAAATAAGAGGGGGGACAATTTGATTCAAAATTTTGTAATTTTGAAATATTTACTCTTAATCTGAGTGTAATGATTTTAAATGGAAATTGATCCAAAAGTTATTTAGCTTGAAAAAAATTAATTGTGAATTGACAAAATGTGATTTTTTTACCAAGGTTCATTGCTTTTGAATCAAATTTATAATATGTCATTGGTTTTTACTTATGCACATTATTAAAGCGCGAATCTTTTTATGGCACAAAAGATATTGATTTATTTTCATGCTTTTCTACATATTATATAATTATCAAGACAATCTCATTAATAGTCTCAGTGGTGGCAATTTAAGATCCAATTTTCTTACACACTCACGCAGTGAAGATCTGTGTTGAATTTATAATTTCCCAAGGCAGCCGTGGCGCAACTAACGTCATCCGGCGCCGCTGTAACACATCTCGTTCCCACACCAGCTACTTTATGCAGTGCATTCTCTGTGGTGCGTCCGCACTAGCTTTCTCTCGCAGTCCCTCCGTTAATAAATCTTTTATTGTTTGCCGCATGTTTTGGGTTGCGAGATTAAATATTTTAGGCGCAGTTTGACAGGCAGCATTAACCGAAAAAGGGTTCCTAACGAGAGCATAATGAACGCCGTTTGGCGCCGCTCCAAAGAAGCGTTGCCGCGCGTATGCTCGCTCCTCCGGCCTGGCAGAATCTCATCCCTGATTTACTTTCTGTCCGCCGGCGGCCTCTCCTCCCCGCATTTGTGTGCTGTAATTGCCTCGCTGGGGATGCAGTGACTGACTGCATCCCTTTTAGCCCCGCCGGCAGTGCCGGGTCAACTTTGCGGATTCATCGCGTTCCCCAAAGAAATTCCAAGTATGCGGCTATTGGACCACTAATTTTGACTGTTGCTCGTATTTTTGTGACACTTTTATCACAAGTCCGTGCCTCTGTCCGCACTCTAAATTTGTCAGTGGCCGACTGAATTTAATGGTCCAGAACAAAACAACGCCGGAGCCGACGGAAAATAGTACCGAGCACTGAAAAATACTAAAAAAAAAAAAATTCAAATATATGCTCAACTTTAGTTAAAAAATTTCATATCATTTTCCTCTTGTTCACGTTGCCGCGTTTAAGTGTGGTTTGTTAGTTTTTGATGTATGTAAAGTGGCACGTATTTTTTATTAGGATGAAAGAAAGTTCTTTTGCAAGATAAAATCATATATAATAATTAATTTTCATTAAGTGTTTGCCAAAGACCCAAATTAACTCGTCTATTTAAAAAATTGCTAAATAAAATTGTTGGCCAGTTTGATTCAGAAAGAATTGTTCTATAAGCAGATAATATATATATATTTTATATTTTAGTGGATACAATCTTGTTTTTATTTTTGTCGCAAATGTTTAAGATTTTATACGTTTGTTACCCATAGAAAATGTGTAGCTGCCACCGATGACCATAAGTTCCATTTTTCACTCTAGCACAAGTTCGGCACTCTCGTCCGAAATGCGACAAACTTTGCTCTTGCCTGGCCGCGGACTTTTCCTACTGCCGTGACAAACTGGCTAATTAAACTAGGTCGGTGTGGGCAATCGATCCTTACCGTGGTACAGCTCAGGCGATTAACTGACGCGCAGTCAAATTCAGGTGAGTTATACGGCGAATGTTAAGAGCTGATTTAGATACTGCAGTCGAGATTTATTGCACGTTGGCGGTCTCTGGAGCTCTATGTATGCGCGTCGCTCTGCATGCCCTCAAGGAAGGAAATTTATCGCTATTTAGTGAATTTGAATGCAACTGGAAGTAATTCGCCTTGATTATGGGTCATATTTTCCAAAATGCGTGTTAGTCTGTGGATCGAATCTTGCTGTGGATACCGGCTTTGGCAACCAGTATTAGTATAAGAAGCCATAGCTGCCAACCCAAAATTACCAGTCTAGAATTTAATAGATCATATGTTCCATATATTTTGCTCATCAGAATTTGTGGAACAAGCACAATTTTGCAAGAGCTTTAATTATTTTTTTAAAGAAGTTGACACTCGAGGAGATGATCATGGAAATGAAGAGATCGGGCTTTTCCTCGTTGCAGAAAAATTGCTTTAATTACACTTGCCACTAAAATCGTTTTCATCTTTGAAGAGAAAATTACATGTATTGTGTATTCAACTTTATTAGTTCTGGTGCTATATTTTTAAAGCTGCTTCTATTTCCAATGAACGTTTGTTGAAAATTCTTCGATTTTCAATGGAGCGCGCTGCAAAAAGTACGTTTCATGCGGTTTCATGTCAGTGAAGAGCAATCATAATTTAAAGCTTTTTTGTTTTCTGGAAGTTAAAATTACTCTAAAACACGATAGCAGTAATTATGCTAGTTTGTAAATTTTTCAATGAAAAATTAATTTACGTTTAATTAACCTTCCGTTAATTATACACTTATATATAACAAGAAACAAAGCCTTGTTTTATTTTCTTGTTAAACCTTCGAAAATATTCAACAATAGTCTTGCATGCCATATTTTTATCAGAAGGCTACTGAATTCATCATTGGGCTTGTTCTCAGATGTTCAGCAACTGCGATTGACAGGACAGTGAATTTTTTTGCAAAGCACAAAACCTCCAGACATTTAGCTCACGTCGTCAGTCTTGTTTGTTTTTGCGCAAAGATTGGGAAAATTGAAACGTCCATAGTCAATTTTTGCATGTCAATCTTTCACCAACAACTGACGTCCACAACGAATTTTTGCTCCGAATGAAAATATCGCATCGCATGCTTGAATCTCATAAGATTGGTCTAAAGTCGTGATAATTTCATGCGGCATTTGGGCGAGGGTCTCGCCGACTTATTCTCTCGCTTTGGCGTGTTTTATGGCTTAGCGCGTGTCAGCCGACGGAAGGGGCCTAATTGGCTGCTCCTCCGCACTAGCTGCACTGCACTGAAATTATGACACGGGCTGAGCCGCCCGGATTAAGAATTCATGCGGTGCGCCCGCGGCTCGGGGTCTCTGTTTTAATTAGAATATGACTGCTATTACCAGCGTGCAGCGTCTGCCGTAAAATGAGTGTCGCGCACCACCTCGCTCTTGCGAGCAAACGAAGGAGATAAGGCAAAAATGCAGCAGCTCGTGTAGGTAGGCTGTAATAAAGTTTGCGCTGCGTTAAAAAGTTGTAAAAGTGAGCTCGAAATGAGCAAGCCAAATTATTTTTACAGCTCCTCGTATTGCCAACCAAGCCGACTCACATATTTGCCCAGGGATGAAATTTGCAAAATGACGCAAAATAGGTCATTTATCAATTTTGATCTTCAATAAAATTAAACTTTTTTTTTAGTAAATGAATCCTCGAATGTCAAATTCTTGAAATAATTTTTATTTTTACTTTTTCGCAATTTTAACTAGTAAATTCTATGAAATCTGTTTTTTTACATTTCAAAGTTTTGTTTTTGGAATTTTTAGCATGAGTATATGGAAAATTAATGAATTTGTTGATTTTAATTCTATATTTTCTGTAATTTGTTTTATAAAATTCAACATAGTCAATTACGATAATTGATTATGAATATCTGCTCCAGTTCAGAAACATTGCAGAAAGGCCAAAATTCTACCATTGTTGCATTCTGGGTATAAAATAATTCAACTATCAACTATCCTGATTCAATTATGCCAAGGAATAAGTCAAACGACGCCAGTAATAATTTTTCCTATATAACTATTTAATTTTGAAAATGTGTAAATTAATGTATACATTGAATAGAAGAAAAAAATCTGCAAAAAAAGTGTTCATTGTTTGTAATTTCTGCGTCACATATCCATATTTCGTGGTAGGAGTCACGTAATTTCTGCGGGATGCGAATAAAAAGTCACACAAATAGCTATGTTGGTGCGGCATAATAAAATGCTAAAGAGTATGGCTTTATCTCGACGGGCGAACCAGCAAAGCGAGCCACCCCGGCTAGCGACCAGAATCATTCTCAATAATGGAGCCACGAGCAGGTGAGGTTGCATAATTAAGCGGCGCTGTGTGTGAGCACGTTGGACCACATTATAGTGTTGAGTGTTGACCCTGGCAATCTTTTGCACGAGACTATTAGGCCCTGTGTATGTATTTATCACCCCCACCGGCGACGGCAGCGAATAAGTGAATGATTTAACACCGGCCGCGGTCTCTCCGCCTGCAAATTGCAGCAAATTAATTGGCGCGTGAATAAGATATTATGCCCTCCTTTAAAGCCGAGCAATAAGGTGCGAATGGCCTTTCATCGCACCTTTTTCCAGGCAATGGCTCCCGCGGGCAGTGATCAAAAATTCAGATCTTTTCGTGCGAAGACCTGGGGTGAAAACTAAAGTATCCCAAGATTGGCGCTTATTTTCCATTATTATAATTTTGCTGTAGGGGAAAAAGGTGGAATTTAATAATTAAAAACATTATAAAACATGAATTCATTTAAAAATTGCACAGGGACAAAAATTTGCTTTGCAAGATATTTTTATCAAAAAGGATTGCAAAAATTGGACAAATTAACAAAATACAATACTTTGAGAAACATAAATTTGACCTCCCAAATGTACTTGATTGTTTAAAACAAAAAAGTATTTTTTAATATACATTTTCAAGCCGAGGAAGCTGAAAGCTAGTTCATCAGGAAAATGACAAATATTTTTGAATTTAAAGATTTGCGTGTTATTTCATATTTCACTAGCATTTTGTTATGATTTCCCTCAAATCAAGACTCTTGGAAAAATCAAACAAGTTGCTAATGGAAACCTTCATTTTGAAACATTACAAAATAAACATAATACTATTATTATTTATTATTATTTTCCTTCCAATCAACCATAAGCAACTCAATTTTATAATTTTTATATGACAAGGAAATTTGTCCTTCATAAAATCGTCCAATTGAAAATATCTTTGTCTGACCTGCAAAGATAAAATATTTAATGGCGCTTCTGCAGCGGATGATAAAAGGAATAAACGATTCTTCCAGCAATGCACTGTCGTAAGTTGAAAACGCGCAGAGGGAATCAAGATGTGGGCAAATTGCAAGGAATGCAAATGGACTGCAAGGACGACGCTGGGGATTAGAAAGGAAACAAGGCCTCGCTCGCGGGCGAGCAAACTTGTGCTGACTGATGGTGATGTGCAGCAGCTCACTCAGTTGAATTTGAGCCGAGCGCTTTGCTTGAGAGGCTCAATCCAGAAATCGCAGAGTGAGCTAGCGCAGAATGAGATCGAAGGTTTTCTCGCTCCAGCAAATCACCTTGTTGCGCAAATCATCTTATAATTAATTGAAACCATCAAACGTTCGCGTGTCTTTGCTGAAAATGGATCGCTAGCTTGACTGGTGTTGCGTGCCGAGCGACTTGCTCACGGATTTTTCTCCACTCAGGCACTCACAATCGTTCAAGGTTGTAAAATTAGAAGTGTGCCGTGTGCCTCTTGATCAATAGATTTTTTTTACTAATTTTTTTTTTTTTAACTACAAACGAAAATTCAATTCAATTGGCTAAGCAAAATACAAAAAGTGACAACATTTTAATTTGAGTAAGTAAATGAAAAAAATAAAAAAAAAAAAATATTTTTTTTTTGAATAGAAATTAAATTTAGTTCATATATTATTCAAAACTTTCGCTATTTCCCATCTGTCCTTATATTTATTTTTGTTTTTGCGATGCAATTGAAACTATGTTGACTTGATAATAAATAAATAATAACAATTTTTCCCTAATTCAAAATTAAGGAATCGCCATGAGACTGTGCAGAGAGCAAGGTTTGGGCAATAAAATATGAAGAAGCTCAAAGAGTGCTCGCATTGTCGTGAGTATTTTAATTGCACACGATAAAGCAGCAGAAAATAAATGGCTTTTATCACATGCTATGCAAATAAATGTCCGCTGACTTCGCCTCGTGGCATTCGCCCTGTTGCCTTCCTCCAGCTTTAAGGGCTCATCAGGAGACGGTAATTTAATTATGGTGCGCTTGCGAAAGTCGAGCAAACAAGTTGAGAACGTCCTATTAAACGCCGTGGTGGTTTACGTCAGGCCATGACATTATACAGCTCGAGTTGAGATAATAAAATAATTTAATAAAGCATCCGGCTATGCGAAAAAACATGTTCACCTGTGATGGAGAAAGTATACATCCCTCTTTGCTCAAGGACAGAACTTGAGTATCACTTTGTGCAGTCGTGCTGCAAAAAAATATTGAATTGCATTGTGCGGTCAGAAAATGATGAATTGCAGAAGAGCGAGTTGGTTTTCATCGATTTTATTGAAAATACTCATTACAACATCACATGATAATAAACGGTGGCTTCCCTTCAAAAGTCTCTTTTATTCTAAAATCTTCTTCTCTCTTCCAGCAAAAACCGTGCTGCAAGCTTGATAGGTCACACTTTTTCACTTCGCGCTTTCACATCAGCTTTTTTACAATTTTGAAGGGAGAAGCGCTTTCTCATATTAATGAAGCTTTTTGAACTTTTTGAACAAAACAATCCAATGGCAAAAGTTAATAAGAAACATCTATTTACTCATGAACGTGTCTGCTTGAAGTTTGTGCCGTTTTAGGGATGCCTTCGCCAAATTGTTCATGAAGTCCACCCAGCACCTTGCTAATTTTGAAAGCTTTTCAGCCGATAAGCACCGAAGGGAGCTTTATCATCAGGGAATAGAATACATAGATGAAAATTGCTTCCAAGACGGGGACAAATAAATTTAAAGTAGCATTACTTAATTGATAATAAATAAATGGTCATCTCCCTCCAAAATCGCGCGGCTGCTCCCGCCAGGTGATCCACAAAGGACACAGATAAAATTCACTAATGTCAAAAAGTTACGCTTAATTAGAACATTTAATCTGGCTGAATGATAACGGCGACTTTTTTACTTTATTTTTTGATCGAAACTTTTTTCGGTGACTCGTTGGTTGCGAGCGTAATGACATTTTAAAAGCACTAATTAGGGGGGCGTTTGTACTCGCATTCGAAATCATGATTATGTTGATAATGTGTTCATTGAGAGAAACATGAGGGGAGAGAAAGAGAGAGATCGCAACGCCAATTAGTCGCTCGGTTCCCATAGGGAATTCCATGCGTTTCGTGTCGCACGCGCGAAGTAAAGAATGACCTTTTGAACCAACACCAGGAGCAGCACAAATCTTTCAATTTTCCACACAGAAAAAGACATGATCTGAGGGATGTGTTGTGTGTGTGTTTTTTTTCGCAGGTGAGGGGATCAACAACACCAATAATCAGAGGAGAGAAACTCGTGAGTGTATTTTGTATATATGTGTGTGGGTGTGTGTTTTTTTTTCTTCCTTTTTACGTTATTTATGTTACACGTGGGGGGTGAGCATCGGAAAAAAGTCTGATGGCACTAGCTCGTCGTCGGTCCTTGTTGCACACATGGTGGCGGAGGACAAAGTCAGTTTGTACTGCAGATATGTCTCTTCAGCAGGGCTACATCACGGCCAGCGTGGTCCACAAACCGCACACCAGCAGCAAGGCACTCAGCGGGCCGCTCGTCCGCCAGCCAGCGCCATGATGCATCGCCGCCTGGTGCTCCCCTGCAACACGCACAACACCTTCGTTACTCCACAGAAAAAAACACTCCCCTGCTATCTGCCGCGCCCGCCTACGCGCTCTTTTCGCACGTCCGCGGCGGCGTCCCATGAGAACGGCCAAAGTTGAAAGAAAGTTTTTAAGTGCGCCCCGCTAGTGAAAAAGATTTCACAAAATCAAACCCCACACTGATTTTGCACCCCTACTTAAGTTAGGTTGGAAAAAAATTGGGATTCAATTTCGTTACTGAAATTTAGGATTTAGTAGTCAAAAAAACATGGATATCAATTGAGAAACACTCACAAAGTGAATAAATGATTAATTTTATGTTAATTACAATTAAATATTAGTAATTTCAGTAAATAATGGGGGAGATTCAATAGACCTAGCTCTCCCGGGATATCTTTTATCCCGGGATAAATCCAAAGGGTTAAAATTTAGACCACTGTCCCGGGTTAAATATTTTTTGTCCCGCCTTCAATTTTTTCTCCCCAAGTCATTGGGGGATATCTTTTCTTAGCCCCCTCTACGGGATAAATATTTAACCCGCGCTAAAATCAAATGAGCTGGTAAATAAAAGGTCGTCAACATGCTCGCAAACTTTTTAGATTTTGGCCAATTGCAATGAACAAAAAATTTTCCAATCAGAATTTTGTGAGGATCATGGAAATGAGGGCAAAATTTAAATCCAAAGCTAACACAAAAATCTGTATCAAACTTAATTTAAAATTGCTTATTTATTTCGCTCGGAAATTTCTAAAGCGAAATTATGCAAGGATTTTTTTCTATTGAAATTTTGTGCACAAAAAATTTCTCAACTCTGAAAAATTAAAATTCTCAAGCTAATTTTTTGTTTTTGTTGATAAATTAAATTCGCTATTTTTTTTAATTACACGTAACAAAAATAAAAAAAGGAAAAAATTAGTTGAACGTGAAAAAGCAAAAAAAAAAAAAATTGCTTTACTTTCATCTTAAGTGTTTCCCACCCTGGCAGAAACGATTATTGGAGAAATAATTCTAAAATATTTATACAATATTCCACCATTGAATTAATATTGGGATCAATATAAAATTCTGACAGGGCAAATATTTAAAGACGTTTTCGTCAAAGTTAATTTGGGCCAATAAATCTTTTTCTTATGGCTATCAAATCAAGTATTGAACCAGTGACTGGCTACGGCTTCCGGCTGTCAAAAGTGCAACTGCAATTAATGAACATGTGCAGCTCATATGAGGTGCTCATTTGAGGTGCTCATATGTGCAACTGATATGAGGTGCTCATTTGAGATACTCATATGAGCAGCTCATATGAGGTGCTCATTTGAGGTGCTCATTTGAGGTGCTCATTTGAGGTGCTCATTTGAGGTGCTCATTTGAGGTGCTCATATGAGGTGCTCATTTGAGGTGCTCATATGAGCAGCTCATTTGAGGTGCTCATATGAGCAGTTCATATGAGGTGCTCGTATGAGGTGCTCATTTGAGGTGCTCATATGAGCAGCTCATATGAGGTACTCATTTGAGGTGCTCATATGAGGTGCTCATTTGAGGTGCTCATATGAGCATCTCATATGAGGTGCTCATTTGAGCAGCTCATTTGAGGTGCTCATATGAGCAGCTCATTTAAGGTGCTCATATGAGCAGCTCATTTGAGGTGCTCATATGAGCAGCTCATTTAAGGTGCTCATATGAGCAGCTCATTTGAGGTGCTCATTTGAGGTGCTCATATGAGCAGCTCATATGAGGTACTCATTTGAGGTGCTCATATGAGGTGCTCATATGAGTCGTTTTGTAGTGAATTTATAGTCATCTTGGAGTCGTTTCGTAGTCAACTTTCGACTCCCAAACGACTCCCAAAACAATACCAAACGACTCCCAAAATGCGCTAAAACACGTGAAGCTCGTTCTCCCTTCATATTTATATGTTGTTGTCCGAACGCGCTGAGTTGACTGAATGCATTCGGTCCAAGAGCGCTTTGGTCCGAATGCATTCAGTCTAACGCCGCTTGGCCCAAATGCATTTGGTCTGGACCAAACGCAATCCACAATGAAATCTCCTACTCTCAGCGCGTTCGGTCTAACAACTTGGTCCAAAAGCAATTTTTTTTAAGAGCTGCCAACTCAGCGCGTTCGGACAACAACATATACTAGCTCGCTTAAACATCCCAACAATTTTACCATCAATAAGCCGTGAACTATTTCGACTGTTGAACCAGCTGACCTTGCTGTCAATTTTGAAACAAAAAGGTCAGCTGCTAGTAATAAAAAAATAAAATCAAGTCAAAATTTTCTTGATATTGGCTGAGCTGAGTGTTTATTGCAGTTGCACTTTTGACAGCCGGCAGCCGTAGCCAGTCACTGGTTCAATACTTGATTTGATGGCCATAAGAAAAAGATTTATTTGCCCAAATTAACTGTGACGAAACCGTCTTTAAATATTTGGGAAACACTTATGACGAAAGAAAAGCAAATTTTTTTCTTTTTCATGTTCAACTTATTTTTTCCTTTTTTATTTTTGTTACGTGTAATTAAAAGAAAATAGCGAATTCAATATATCTACAAAAATAAGCTTGAGAATTTTAATTTTTCAGAGTTGAGAAATTTCACGTGCGAAAAATTTCAAAAGAAAAAAATCCTTGCATAATTTCGCTTTGATGAAGAGATCTTTAGAAATTTCTGAGCAAAATAAATAAGCAATTTTAAATTAAGTTAGATACAGATTTTTGTGTTAGCTTTGGATTTCAATTTTGCCCTCATTTCCATGAACCTCACAAAATTCCGATTTGAAAAAGTTTTTTGTTCATTGCAATTGGCCAAAATCTTAAAAGTATGCGAGCATGTTGACGACCTTTTAATTATCAGCTGATTTTAGCGCGGGTTAAATATTTATTCCGTAGAGGGGCTAAGAAAAGATATCCCCAACTGACTTGGGGACAAATAATTGAAGGCGGGACAAAAAATATTTAACCCTGGACAGTGGTCTAAATTTTATCCCTTTGTATTTATCCAAGGATATCTTTTATCCCGGGAAAGCTTAGTCTATTGAATCTCCCCCAATGTATTTAGAACTACGAAAATATGAAATTGCGCTTGCAACTGCTTTTATAAAATGTGTATTTAGAGCAAGTAGACGTTCATGCTTACAACACACACAATTCGCTCATAGACGTGCAGCCCTATTATTTCACTGTTATATGAACAGCGTATCAATTTGTTAAGCGATTTTCTTACGTTTGAAGCATAATTGGGGCAGGAAGAATTTATTTTGAGCCATGAAAAATTCCTAGTGCCCGGGCAAAAGTTTACAAGCAAATGTTAAAAAGTTGTAAAAATAAGGACTATTTGCTAGTGGTAACTCAATTGCGAATTCTACATTCATACTATGAGAAAAATTATAGTTAGGAGAGGCAGTGACTAGGCTTCCCCTGTATTATTTTTATTAAGTTACCACTCCTTGTTTAATTTGAAGCTAATCCCAAATCTTTAGAGTGTTCATTTATTACCATTTTTATGATTTCAAATTTAAACCTTAATCAGAGACCTGCGCGAAACGACTAATGAGTATTTCTTTTGTGACAAGCGTATCAAATTGCAAACTGAATAGCATATTTAATAACAAAAATTGAGAGGGAAACAACGTATTTAGAACTACGAAAATATGAAATTGCGCTTGCAACTGCTTTTATAAAAATGTGTATTTAGAGCAAGTGGACGTTCATGCTTACAACACACACAATTCGCTCATAGACGTGCAGCCCTATTATTTCACTGTTATATTAACAGCGTATCAATTTGTTAAGCGATTTTCTTACGTTTGATGCATAATTGGGGCAGGAAGAATTTATTTTGAGCCATGAAAAATTCCTAGTGCCCGGGCAAAAGTTTACAAGCAAATGTTAAAAAGTTGTAAAAATAAGGTCTATTTGCTAGTGGTAACTCAATTGCGAATTCTACATTCATTCTATGAGGCAAATTATAGTTAGGAGAGGCAGTGACTAGGCTGCCCCTGTTTTATTTTTATTAAGTTACCACTCCTTGTTTAATTTGAAGCTAATCCCAAATCTTTAGAGTGTTCATTAATTACCATTTTTATGATTTCAAATTTAAACCTTAATCAGAGACCTGCGCGAAACGACTAATGAGTATTTCTTTTGTGACAAGCGTATCAAATTGCAAACTGAATAGCATATTTAATAAAAAAAATTGAGAGGGAAACAACGTATTTAGAACTACGAAAATATGAAATTGCGCTTGCAACTGCTTTTATAAAAATGTGTATTTAGAGCAAGTGGACGTTCATGCTTACAACACACACAATTCGCTCATAGACGTGCAGCCCTATTATTTCACTGTTATATGAACAGCGTATCAATTTGTTAAGCGATTTTCTTACGTTTGAAGCATAATTGGGGCAGGAAGAATTTATTTTGAGCCATGAAAAATTCCTAGTGCCCGGGCAAAAGTTTACAAGCAAATGTTAAAAAGTTGTAAAAATAAGGTCTATTTGCTAGTGGTAACTCAATTGCGAATTCTACATTCATTCTATGAGGCAAATTATAGTTAGGAGAGGCAGTGACTAGGCTGCCCCTGTTTTATTTTTATTAAGTTACCATTCCTTGTTTAATTTGAAGCTAATCCCAAATCTTTAGAGTGTTCATTAATTACCATTTTTATGATTTCAAATTTAAACCTTAATCAGAGACCTGCGCGAAACGACTAATGAGTATTTCTTTTGTGACAAGCGTATCAAATTGCAAACTGAATAGCATATTTAATAAAAAAAATTGAGAGGGAAACAACGTATTTAGAACAACGAAAATATGAAATTGCGCTTGCAACTGCTTTTATAAAAATGTGTATTTAGAGCAAGTGGACGATCATGCTTACAACACACACAATTCGCTCATAGACGTGCAGCCCTATTATTTCACTGTTATATGAACAGCGTATCAATTTGTTAAGCGATTTTCTTACGTTTGAAGCATAATTGGGGCAGGAAGAATTTATT